GCTGCTGCCTATCCCTCGCCCTCCCTTAGTCGCCACTTATGACACCCACGGGAAAGAATGGTAAGAATGCCTATTCAGTGCTGGGATCACACGAGAATGATACAGGTATTGTTTTAATGATGAGGTAAATTTTGTTATAGAACTATTTTAGCTTTATATATTAATTATCATCATCATCATCATATCAGCCGTTATTTGTCTATTGCTGAATAGCTGTCTCCATTGACTGCCTATATGTATCCTGAGCCACCAGTCTCCACTGACTCGCTGAAATACATTAGAGGTAGTTATTCGATCCAGTTTGGTGTTGTTCTACAGTGTGTTTGGTTATACGCTACTCCCACTTCAGAACCCTTCTTCCCCATCTGTTGTCGGTTCTTTGAGCTATGTGACCAGCTTATTGTCACTTCAGCTTGTTTATCCTTCGAGCTATAATGGTCACTTTGGTACTTCTGCAGAAATTTTCATTTCAGATGTACAAAAGATCTTTGTACAAAAGTCGTTTGCTTAGGTACCTCTGTCCCATTCGTGTTTCAACCGTGAAGCAGTTGTGTTTTCAAGGCTGTGTTTCGTTTTGAAGGGTGGGATATGGCGTAAATTTACAGGGTACAGAGGAATAACCTCTGAGTGGCAACGCATGGGGGGGTATCATGGGCGAAACAGTATACTCTGTTATGTCCACGGTACTGCTCATGTCTATAGGCGACGTTTACCATTTTCCATCAGGTGGGCCGTGGGCAGCTTGTTTGCCATTCTAAGTTGTATATAAAAAAAAATCCATGACGCATAGAAACTCCGAGCATAGCCCTCTCCATAGTCTATGGAATTGAGCTGAGACCATGTTTCAGTTGTGTATGTTATCACAAGCAACATGCACTGGTTAAAGATTTTTGTTTTCAAGCTTATATCTTAATCATACGGACAAATCCATATGATTTATAAATAAATTAATTGTAAGCTTATACATATAACTACGTGTTTGCTTAACCGAATTATCGTCTTCAATTTGAATTGGTTCTTAGTTCAGAAGTACTGAAATATTCATAGATATACGTTAGTACGCATTCTACCTTCTAAAAACATGAAAAACGTAACGAAACATCGACCCGAGTTTATAATATAGCCTTCGGTAACAACTGGAAATAATCAATAGCTATAAACTATTAAAGAACTAATAAAACACCGGTACGCCGAATAGTACAAGGAAACCTTACAATCGGCTGATCATTATTCAAACGCAGCTATGTACTACTTCCTAATAATTTTATCTTAAAAAATAATTTGATAGGTAAACAATTTTATATTTAACAATAATGTTATTTTAAATTTCTGGTATCCAGTATCTACTTTACCTACAGGCAAGTTTTAATGCATCAATTTAAATACGCAATATTTTTAAAAACAATCACAATGACGGTCGAGTAAAGTGAACGATTTTCGTGATTATTTTTTATCGGGATAATCAAGGAATATAGATTAGATTTCGTTTATTTTAGAAACTCTATAAATTCTTATTAAATAATATCAAATAGTTACAAACAAGGCTATTTTACTGTAGAGTCTTAGAAAAATACTCTCTACACGATCTCATTGAATATTTGAAAACAGGTTATCTTACGTAATAATCATCATCATGAATTCAGTCGTTAACTCTCCACCGCTGAACATAGGCCTCCCTCTTGGATGGTTTCATTAGTAGTTGCCATGTTTGGCAAGCGGGTTGGTAACCGCAATTAGGCATTGGTAATGTTTTAACAGGGACGTTGCCCAACCCTCGACTATGAAATTTTCTTGGTTACCTCTTACGACACACACGGAAAAGGAAGGGGTGACCTATTTTGTGCCGGGATCACACGGCAATATAATAACTATAGTTACTAATATAATAACTAAATTATAACTAAACAATGTATAAACATAGGAGATATTTTAGAAAAAAATGAAATGAGATGTTTAAATAAAGGAGATTATTGACAGAACAACGTTAAATAATATGTAGTGGTCGAATTATAGTTGCTATTAAAAAATAATCCTAATTATTACTAATTAGCTACTTGTTCGCTAGCAGCGAATTTATTTCTCAGACAAAGGTGCACCTAGTCTATTTAGTAATTAGCAATCATGCTACGAAATACTATTATTTCCCATAATTAGTAATCCATTACGAAGTAATTGCATAATGTTTGTTAATTGAAAATTTATAGATACTCAGCCAACTAGACCTACGTCAATTGCTTTTTTTTTTCAGCAATAGGATGTTATAATTTATTTTAAGGGTATTTTCGTTCTTTAGGTATGCGCGTAATAGTCATATAGTACTCTGAACTAATTTCTTAAAAGAATTTTACTAATCCAGCGTAAAGAAAAGTTATTAACGAAAATCAATATTTTACATTGTAAATTTTAGCAAAAAAAATTTTAATCCATATTAACTTGACAGCTAGACACAGCGTGTTCATAGAGTATCGACTATAAAAAATGTTCAGTCAACAATTTGACGTAACTGTATTAAAAAAAAAACAAAACGCACCATTACTTACACTTATGTTAATATTTTTTATCGTAATCACGAGGACCCATTTACATAAATTAAAAAAATATTTATTTTTTTATATTTTTGATTAATTATTGACAAAGTTCTCTCTACCTAGCCTAATATATATAAGGGAAAGGGATTGTTAGTAATGTCCCATTGCTAGCAATATACCCTATCAGGTCGACCTTCCCGCGGTCCCCCCTGGAAACTATCGTGCTCCATTCCTGGTGTATTCATCACGGTGGGTGGGCTAATTGACCAGTCTATCATCACCCACCTATCATCCCTCACTGATGTCCCGCCAGCGTATACCGTTAGTGCAGGCGGGGTTACCATTCCATTATCATGCATTGAAAAAAATATAAAATAGGTACCTATAATTTACAACAAATTTTATATCGAACCCATAATTCTTAGGAAAGATTTTGCCTCACTCTGCATGTTCTACCGTTTCTACAACGGATAGTGCTCAGAGGAAATGTTCAATATGATGTCCATGGCCACCGTCTACCATCGTACAGCTCGACATCGACAGGAAGTTCGGCTCCATATCTTAGAGCCTAGATTGTCGCGTAAAGTGCGGTTTTATAGATATTTTCTCCCACGAATGCTCAGGATTGAGCTTCTTGTCGAGGTTTTTCCAAGAGACTACAACATGGGGTTCTTCTAAAAAGAGATAAAGAGGTTTCTTCAGGGTCAGCAACGCGCACCTCTGGTATTGCAGGCATTTATATGCTACGGTAACAGCTTACCATCAGATGGGCCGTATGCATGTTTGTCACCTCAGTGGTGTGAAAAAAATATTATTAAAAAAAGTTGTAAATATAGAGTTTATTCCAAAGCAACCGACATATGATAACTATCTACTATTTTTTTAAAATAATTCGATAATTTTGATTCATTATAACATAATTATAATATAATTAATCAAAAATATTTTAGTGTCTATCTATTTTCGCGATATGAATGCTTTTAAACTACAGCTAATTCATTATAATAGGTACCTATATACCTAATATATATGTTTGGTAAACAATTATTCTATTAAGCCTAGATTAACAATCACACATCACCGGCAAATGAGCAGACATGCTGACCTTTCGATATTCTCGTACCGTGTTGGAACTAATAACACTACCTTCGTTAATGGACACCACGAAAATGTCGGAACTCTATTGAACGTCGAATATTTATATTTCTTTGATACAACTTCCTCGAAATTATGATGTTTGATTAAAGAGGTCATGTGACGAGGTCCTATGAAAAAATAACGTGAATGAGTTTTTTATGACTGGGTGGACAAACGTAAATAACGACAAGAAAATATTCGATTAAAAGACTAAAAATAAAAATATAAAAATACTCACGACTCGTTTCCATTATGGAGTAGTCAGAGATTTCTATAGACTGTTGCATTGTTGAAGTATATTAGGTATTTTATGCCACTATAATGGACGTAACATACTCTCAACATAAAATAAATAAAAAAAATGCATTGTAATAACTATAATACCTCTCATAAGTTGACATTTCTGAGAATTATGGTATGAGCATTATGCCTCCATACCCTATAATTTTTCGGCTATATCTTACTTTTCGATCCAAAAACAGCCATGCAAGCTGCACGGTTATTTCATGGCAGTTTCATGGCATGGTTTCATATATATACAGTCCAATATTATCACAAAGAGTATCTTTCCAGTAACGCTTTATTTTATTACAACAGAGTTTCAATTTAATACAGAATATTTAAATATAATATATCAGAAATTTATATTACAATGTCATATCATATCAACATAATATGTTTGAATAACAATCACGTAATTTATATCCAGACTTTTGGGATCTACGAGTGTAAGTCAGGATAGTACTCCTATGTAACAATACTCACAAAATACAATTTAATTACGATTTGATTTAAATTATTCAATGTTTTAATTTCATGTTCTTTTTTTTTACTTTTTATACACTTAATAATGCATAGAATGGGCTCATCAGCAAACAGCGTTATCCATATCACTATACATTTTTATTTGCGGTTAACTGGTGACATAAATATAGAGAAACATACTCGTATGTACATGTCTATCTCTGAACTAAATGTTTATTATATACATATATTAACTTTCATGAAATACGTAATACCTAATTCAATAAATTGCTTCGGCACAAAATTTCTAAATGATTATAAGATTTTTTTTTAATAGAGTAATTTATTACATTAGGTGATATTTTTTATACTTACTCTAAATTTTTTCTTTAGCTTTGCTGTTTTGCGTATTTATATTTTATAAGAGAGTTACAGAGTTTATCTAATTGTTAATACTCGTATAATGCGAAGTAATTATCGTAAATTTGTACTAATTTTCTCATAAAAATATTACATAAAAAATATTATTATTATATTTACAAGGTGTTAGTTCTATGTCGGGAAAGTATAATAAAACCAATGAGAGGCTTTTATATTTTATTATTCATTGTGATAGTAAATAGACGTAAGGATGTAAATAATTGTACAATATACATAGTAGACCTTTTTTTTATAATTTACATTAAAATTATGAGCATTTTTAATGTTAATCGTGATCATAATAGATATGTACACTTTTAGTTAGTAATATTCTACTCGAATATTCACTAATATCATGTAAAAGCTACACTAATTTAAAATACATTAAATAAATTAAACTCGTGTAAGTGTTATTGTAATTGGAAATTGCTATAACATCGTTTATTACTTTATCATTAAAACCATATGCTTAAGAAAACTATATTTTAAAACACTACTATAAATAAAAATCACTTCTAAATTGAAATCTAATTTTTACAATGACAGATAATTGAAAATACCTAATCAAGATGCAACCATAAATATTGGCACAAGACAATTTTAACGTTGTTAATACATGGATTTCTTTTTTTCTACAAAACTTTAATATTTTCTAATTTACAACATTGATTTTGTTAAGGAAAATATAAATGTGAACTATACTTTATACATATTACTATTGTGAAGATTGTGCATTTAAAAAAAATAAATCAAAATTACTTTTGTATGTTATTATAATAAAAAGTTGATTTTTTTTTTCATTATTTTTTAAATATATTTTTCTATACCAAGGTTAATATCGAGATTGTTTTATTATTCTAATTTATCATTTTAATTTAGTTCATCAAAAACATATAGTACCTATTTGTTGATCATTTAAGCATTATATTGTGTATCAATTTTGATATGAATAGGTACATAATAAATTCGTGATTGAAGGCCGATTGCAATGATAAAATTTTACATGTACAGAATTTCTTTTTTACATATGTGAAAATTAAATAATTAATAATTTACTTTAAATAAAAATAAATTTAATTTTTGTTACAAGAACAATGACACTTTTCATTTCTATATAAATTTCCTCTTTTAATGGCGTTTTTCTCAATTCTTTTTTTTTATTATAAGAAAAAATAACAAAATAGTCTCACAATTAGCAAAGTTATAATGTTTTTACAATAATTATAAATAATTAGGTACTACTAAATAATAACATTTTACAGTATTTATCGATGTGCAACAATTTAAGTATGCATATATAACTTCAGTAACTATAAATACTGATAAGAGAATTTGATACACCAAAATATTTATTACATTTTTCGCAAGCGTATATATATTATATATTACTATTAATTGTACAACTTATTATTTGTACAACTTAAGCGAATTGAAATACGTGTATTTTGTCAAGGATGCTTGGTTAGATTTAGGATTATCCGAGATTTTTATTTCTGAGTTGTCAAAAATACAGGTAAATCAATCTAGTTTACAACTAAAATGTTTAACTTAAATACATTATCAGTTTATTAGCTTTATCCATTTAAAAACGTATCTGTTTTAAGTGGCTTATGTATTTAGAGCGATTGACACAAAGAAATGATGTATCAACTGTTTAATAATACATTATCTATATTTCAATATTGTTCAGACCATTACATACATTACAATGATATTATAATACAAAAAAGTAGACACTGAGATGATCGGGACATTTGCTACACTTCCGCGCAAACAACAAATATTAGCTGTCTTATTTATTCTTATTGTATTAAACACTGCGTCCTTTTTAAAATATTTGATAATGTGGCACAACATCTGTGTACTGTCATCGTCATGAATATTTTTTAGTTGTTTCCAAAGCATATGATATCTTCTCTTTAAAAATTTCATCTATTAAAAAGTACCTCACTTTCTTGTGTAAGTGTTAACGAATTAAACATATGAAATAATTTCATTGTTTATAAGACTGAAAATTGTTAGATGCTGTCTTTACTTAATTTAATTGTTAATTCATTCAGATAACAATTTCAATGCACCAATATTGTAGCCGATTTGAAATTTACTCTTTGATTGATAAAAGGGATTTATCATTAGGATAATTTAAACTAGGACATGTGCAACACACGACTATCTATTATTCGATGAAGGATAATATATAAATAGTGGAGGGAATAATATAGTCTTAACTTTGAAATAGGTACTATAATATACAACAGGAAATATCCACTTATCGGAATTAAGGCCTACATGACATCCTATAACCTCTGGTCCCTAAGCACCAGTCCAGTCTAGATAAGAAAAATTAATTGCAATGTTTTATTCTAATTATACCAAAGGGTTGTTTAGTGCCATTTTTCATTTTGATTTTAATTTCATCTACATGATTTTCATAATTAATATTTATAATTAATATATAATTAATTTTAATTGACAATTTTTAGAGATATTTAAATATTATATTTGAAAAAAGAAAAACATCTAAAGGGGAATGTGTTTTGACTAAGAAAGAATACAATGGGCGGATTAAAAAGTATATACATCGCACGGTTATAATTTACATAATTTAGAGTTAAATAATCTACAAATTTTCTCTGATCTAATCTTGCTCTACACTGGTTCATACTTTGATGTTTCATTACATTTTTATCGCTTATATTCTATAATACCATGTGCAGATAATACATATCATTGGACCAAAATTCAACCTTCAAATCTTGACGTAGATCTATACATACTATTAACATAGTTTGCGCCATTAAATTAAATTTCTTCATATATTTTTATTTATAGCTCTCTTCTAGAGAAATACCTAAAACGACATTTGCAAAATTAAATAATGATCAATTAAATATATTTTTTATTACTACAATTTTCTATTAATCTTAAATTTAAAGAAAAAATATCAATGAACAAACATTTATTTATAAACGGTTTCGAAGAAATTAAATATAAAGAAGTCGAAGCATAAGAAAATTACAATAATTTTTATGACATAAATGTATTTATAGCTGATATAAAAGATAGTATAGGTACATTTTACGATTATCTATAATAATTACATTCATTATAGTGGACTAAAAATCAAGTAATAAATGAAATATCTAGGACACCGCAGATTATGACTATAATTTGTACATAGCTATTTATTATCATATAAGTGACTTATATAAAATTGCTTATAAGAACATTACGCACATCATATATTTCATACTCGATAAAATTTAGAGTGGCACTGTTAAGTCGAATATAAATTTACAATAAAGTTATTGTGCAGTCCTTAATTATGAGTTATGTGATTTTAAATCTAATCGCCGACATTTATATTTAACACTCAATAGAGACGCAGGAGAGTAAAGTTACAAAAATATCAATGTCAAGAATTAATCAAAATAAACACACCATACCAACTATAAAAGCTATGGTCCCTCATCAAGACACACATTTAAGTAGCTACAGATTAGAATTTCATGCAAGTCTCCAGAATTCGTTGTGACAACTCCGCAAAGTTCCGTATTTGGATCACTCAATCGTATTAGACCAAAGTGCTACACAGTATCACAAATTAATAATTTTATTATTAAAATTTTGATCGTCCGATGCGATAAGATATATGATATTTATGGGCTCTGCACGGGACTGGGCCAAGGTGGCCTCATTTTTTCCAGCACATATTTGAGCTGGAAACTGGTATGGAAATGCTACAGATACTCGTCTATCTGATCATAGTCCTCATCAGGGGGTGAAGGTCCAGACACTGAAAGAATTGGTAGTCCAAAATGTTTGACAGTTTCTACACTGCCACTATCGTCTGATTTGCTAGCTTCTTCGTTTATAGTCTCTTCTCTTGGTGGTTTGGCTTTGCAGAGGCGTTCTGATGAATCGCTCATTGTAGTAAGCGGTATGTTGTCTGCTGATCTATAGAAAATATATTAAAATTAAAATTCCCTATATTTTTATGGACTTAATTTTAAGTATCTTAGTAATTTCGAATAGATAATTCGATTTAATAACTTTATACTCAAATCAGTTAATAATGTAAGTAAAGTAAAAACAAAACTCTGTAAAAACAAACTTCTCCAACAAATCAGAAAATAATTATATTAAAAGTCGATAGAAGAGTGAGCGATGGTCTCAAATATGTTGCACGAAACGATTGATTTTTTTATGATAAGGATGGAAGAATTTATTAACCATTTAGTACGATTGCAATACGTGTTAATTAATTACAATTACTGAGTCAGTGGGTTACTGACTCATTTGCCTACTGTAGCTAATGCCATGCATATTTTTTCAAACCAAATACGTTTATTATAAGTACAAGCACAAACTTACCTAGCCTTCCGACACAGCTTCGATTGAGAGCCGTGTCGCCTTAGGAATTCGCCGGCGTCGAATCCAGCGAAACCTGTGGGCTCAGCGGAGACGAAGATGGCCGAGTTCACACGCGGTCGATTGCACCGTGCCAACAGCCGCTCTTCACACTCCAAACTTTGCGTATGTGTGTGTGACCAACGCATATGCTGAAATAGAAATAATATAATTCAGAACTATAGATTCATTAATATTTGAATGTTACCTGTTCACATGAAAATTATAAGTGTACGTGATAAGCTTCCAATCTCAACTTTGTGAAATAATAAAATATGTACAAAGTAGAAATAAATGTTTTATTTTACAATGTATTTTTATACAAGATAACCAATCTTTAGTATAAGATAGGTTAGGTATATAACGAAACAAGTATTTTATACAATTAAAACAATTCAGTTCAAATTCAACCTTGATATTACATATATTCTACACTTTAAAGACAAATCACCATTCGAAACTGACTGAACATTTGAAGCATTAGAAGTTAAAGTTCCTCGCAATTTGGAACAAGATTACTTAGGTTAAGTTTTCAACGATAAACGTAGCTTCTGTTGAGCCCGCATACGTACAAACTACGATAAAACTTTCTGTTGTTATTAATAACTAGCTAAAACTCCCGTGTTTACCTACGTGATTTAGAATAAAATTAGCTAAATTAAGCAAAACTGTTGACAGAGTTTCACATGTCATCGCAAATGTTTTTTTATAATGCAAGTTACTGTTTTATCCTTCACACACAGTGAGTGATAAAAAAAGACAAAAACATTCGTGTTCAACTAACATATGACACACAACGCACAGTAACCTTTGTTTCTTTTAAATATTTCACGTGAATATAACAAAACGGGAAAACTTTTTCCACACTTAACTTGTGAATCGCGTGTCCTAATACGACATCTACTAACTGAGTAGCTTATAAGTTGTTGATGTTGAAAAAAGAACCTTAAGTCTTGGATAAAAGGTGAATATGATAGCGTGTATGTGTCATGGAAAAGTGTATAGTAATCACAAGTATTGCATGTTCATCACGATGACAATACTGGCACGCAAATATTCACTCGAAGCACCTAATTTTAGGTCGAGTATTCACTAGGGACGGCTGACTAGCGACACGTGACATATTATATGGATTTTATGTACCTGTAAGTTACTAGCTATACCAGTTACTTCGTCTGCGTATCATATTTACTAAAAAGTAGCAAATATATATACATTGTATTTAGTAAGAAAAATAGATAAAAATAAGAAATGGAGAAAAATGTACATTACTTTTTTTTATTACAGTCAATCAATATATCCTGATAAAGTCACAGGCAAAAATTATTAATATCGTAAAGATATAAACACAAAGATATAAGTACAAAAGTATTTTTATATTTATAGAACTAGAATAAATAGCAGTATATATCCTTCTGTGTCCCAAATACGCGTATACCAAATTTTATAATTAATTAATCCGTTAAGACGCTATAAAGAAACAAAGAAACTCACTTTCACATTTAAGTCAAAATATCAGGGAAGGAAAAATATTTATAGGTATACCCGATATAAAATGGTAATCTATGCCAAAATATAAATGGCAAATACTCAATAATAAAATTTCATTGAAATTAGTTTTTATTTTATAAATTATTCTAGAATTATCATAATTATAATTATATATAATATGGAATATTTTGAAATAAATTTATATTTGCCATTTTTCTAAAATGACGTAGTAAATAGATAGTTAGAAATTAAAGAAATCCTGATACCCGATACTGTAAACTAATTCAATTATTTTTAGTTTTTTGGCTAATTTTTGGGATATAAAATTAAATTAATAATACCTACATTCTGATTCTTAATTTAATTGATGTCTTAACATTATAATTTAATTTGATTATAATGTTAAGACATCAATAATCTAAGTATAGAAATAACCAAGTTTCATAATCAATCAAATAAAACAGAGAAGAGATAATATTACACTACTAATGGGTCTTTATTTCAGGCAACAAGAGTATTCCCAAGAAGATAAACCTATCTACATATATATCATATATATGATAATATATCTTTATAATTTTCCTGTCTTCATTCCTATGAAATAGCATATATACCTGTACCTTAATCTAAAATATACACTATATATATTTACATATTAATCCTTATTTCCTAATTATTCTATACGTTTGTCTATTTCTGATATTATACAAAATTAACTAGTCATATTATACAACAATATAGCATATTAATTTGTACTTCCGTTCAATACTTAAGTATTATAACAGTTTTAATATTTTATTTAGAACAACGTAGCGTGTAACTTCACTATCCTCTGACCGACTAAATTGGACAAGGTTTCTTATTAATCATTTACGAAATGTCATATATATAGAGAGCTCGTCCTTAACAAGTTTAGTTTGATTTATACTTTACAGTAGTTTGATTAACATCGATCAATGAAGTGAAGCAATTTGGATGGGTGACCGCACTATAGTTTGTTGATTTTGTATACGACGTGCCGTAACGTTAAGTCATGTTAGCACAATATACAAATTTTATTTTTATTTTTAATTATAATTAAGTTATTTTTAAGGTAACTAAAGTTTTTTTTTATACTAGTATGTATGTTGGCAAACTTGCATATGACCTTTTTGATTACAAACAGTAATGCAATAAAAGGTATAACGCGCACGTTCGTAATTTTATTACGCCCTTTTTTAAAGAAAGACTTTGAAAAGAGAACGATTTGAAAACTTCAGCAAAAACTTTATTATTTATTATCTACTATCTGAGCGTTCGTGAGAAAAACTCCTCTGAAACAGTACTGTGCGTGACCATGTTGGTTCTAAGGTGCGTGAATGAAATCGCTGCGAGTAGTGCAATGATAAAAGGAAGTGACAAATGACAGAATGGCTCTTCGTATATTCAAATGGAGAATATAATTTTTTTTTTATTTTAACTACTTAGCTGTATTTACTACCACATTCTATACAGGTCATTTTATACAGATATTATTGTTTAATCTATGGTATGGTTTTTTAGTAAACTTTTTTTTAGAATACGCATATACTTAGTCAAAAAGTCATAAGTGCTTCTTTTTAAATTGGACTTTATTTGGCCATAGCCTAGATTCATACTCAAAGACCAAGTGAATAGTTAGATTTTCTACTATAACATTGAAAGCTATTGAAGAGAAACCTGCAAAAATCACTTTCAATATTACCAGCGTTCTAGTTTCTTCCCGCGCTTTTATTGAATTAAATGCTGTGAGTTAGCTGAAAAGGGTTACTACGGGTACCATGAATATAAGCTATCATACGTTGTAATAGAAAAGAAAATCCTCTGTATGCATTTATCCGCGTATATGACCACCTATATACGTGTTATATTTATTTCTATGCAACTAAGAATTACAAGCAAATAATAAGTAAATACCTTATCGCTATCACGTTTATGAGAAAAAATAATATTCAGTTATTGTTATCTCGTTCTATCTTCCTCATAGATCAATAACAATTTTTATAGGCAAACACAGTGTATTTAAATACAAACAATGGGAACTATCTACCTGATGGGAATATGTACCTATCTACATACGTAAGTACGTACATAAGAGGCAACCGTCACCTATACATAAGATTAAAATTAGCTTTACAAAATACATTGTGACAACAAACAGTGTGATGTTTATTTTGAGGCAGGAAGCCTGATGATCTAAGAAACAGGCAGCTCGCTGCCCAATTTAAATATCAGTCTCCCACAACTATGTTTAGTTTCATGTTAGTTTCATACTCTGAAATTTCAGTACCATGTGTCTACCATTAAAATCCAAATGCAACCGTGTAAATAAAACTGTTTGATGATTCTAGTGGGACAAATATAGGCAAAGTTGTCGTTCGATTAAATTAATTAATATTGTTTAATTCATCATTATTTAAATTTAATCATGCAATGTAAATCTATGTATCAATAATGAGTAATAACACAATTCGTAAATATACTATGCACACGAGTTTTAACTATCTATAATTATCTATTAATAATATTAAAAAAAAAAACACCAATAAATTGTTTGATTTTCAAACTAGTACTATAAAAAAAAAAAAAAAACTTAATTAAGAAAGTAAATATATCACTGAATGTCTCATCGTCATAAATTATTATGTACAAAAATTTTAATAAATTTAAAAATACTTCTTTAAATATAGGTGAAACCAAACTAGATAAGCTATTCATCCTGAATATAAAGTCCAGGATGAATAGGCATTTGTAAAAGATATCCAGTCACTGCTTTCATTCATTTTCTAATTCTAAAAGATTCCGACACGTCCTATATGGTAGAAGTGTATAAAAGTGATGCAAAGTCATCCTAGTACGATTATGAAGATTTACAAGGTGTGATCAAAATATAGCAAGCCGAAAATCAGAGGTCGTATAGTATTTATGATACTGAATTAAAGTTAAATTGTTGTCAATAATATTAATTTTGTTTGACATAAAAACAGCTTCAATTGTAGAATTTTTATTTTTATTTCGAAAAAATCAATTTCTTCGATCAATTTAACAAAATTATTATTAACATAGAAGTTAACTCGATCAATTAAAATACAATAAAAATATAGGCAAATTAAGAAGTCTTTTGAAGTTGCATGAAAAGATGAGAGTTTATAAAGATATTTGGATCATTATTATTCTACACAATTAAAAATAAATGCATTTAAATACATAGGCGTGCATACAGATCATATTCTCTGTTATGAATACTTAGTTACGTACTAAATGTAATCTGCCGCAAATCAGAAATATTTTTGATATTTGTTCCATGTGTAGGTAAGTTGTTTAGTATATTGTGCAAAGTTGGTTAGTTTGACAAACTGTTCTTGAAATATCAATAGTATATTTAAAAATAACTGCAGTTCTTCAATACTATAGTTGTAAAACTTCAATCAATAAATAGTTACTTCAAGTTGTTGCATTGCCAGAACGAACTTGTAAATGGGTAAATAAGTTTAAAATAACAGTTTTTACCCCACTATATTCAATGTAATTATAAAATTTTATATATTGCATTTTCTGTTTAATTTCAAACAATGGTTAAATAAACCATCAAAGTACCCAATGGTAATCCATAATAATTTATAAGCAATTCTAATATTGTCAT